AATTTTGCTAGTGCATCACGTCTTCTAATTTCCTCACGAAGTTCCTCAACGACTTGTAACGTTTCACGATGATTTAATTCTAAACGCGATAATTCATGTTTGACGGCATCTAGACTCTGTGATTTATCTTTATGAAAAGATTCCAATAATTTTAATTCAAATTGAAGCTTGTCCACTATAGCGGCATGAGCACTATCATGCTTCTCCGAATTTAAAAGATCAGCGGATAATGACTTGACTTTTCGATGAAGTAAAGATTTAGAAGCAAAAGGAGCGACGGCATTACTTGAAGATTCTTTGGTATAAAGGGACACGGGAGTCATGGGAGTCATTGGTGTCATTGGTGTGGACGAAATAGAATGTAAATCTTCAACCATTTCAGAATGTATATCGAGCTGGGATTGAAGTTCTTGAATTACATTAAGAGACTCCTCATATTTAAATTTAGTTTCTGCTAATTCCGCGACAGTTTTTTCATAAGTTTTTTCCAATTCGGAGAGTTTCGATTCAAGTGTTGTAATTTTTAACCGGTCATTATCATTAATTTGTGGGGAAGATGATAAATTTGCTTCTTTTAGTGAAGATTGAAGATCTTGAATTTCGTCTAGACTTGATTGATATTTGATTTTTACGTCAATCAATTCAGTAACAGTATTTTCGTGTGATTTTTGTAATTCAGCAAGTTTAGTTTCAAGATTTATAACGGTAAAGAGATTTTGTTCACCTGAAGGAGAGGAAGATCGGTCTTCGCCCGCGGTTATCGAGCTATTTGAATTTGTGGCTTCTAACCTTCTTAGTTTGTCAAGTTCTTCGACTAAAAGATTTAATTTGAATTCAAGTTGATTAATTCTTCGATCACGATCATCAAGTTTATCCAGGAGAACTTTGGTTTCTTGAGTGACGGGAACGCTTTCAACTCGTTCCTTCTTAAGTTCATTCAACTGTGCTTCCACTTCTTCATATGCAGCGTCACGTTCTTTTAAGCGTTGTTCAAGTAATCGAACGGTTTCACTAATGAATTTTTCGGGATGTTCCAAACGAGTTGTTTGCAAGTTTGCTTCAATTTCACGTTTTTCTAATTTTGATTCGATTTCCTTGATGTAATTTTGTAGACTATTAATGACATTCTTGTTATGTTCATTAGATTCTTCAACTTCTTTGTGATTTGCCTCTTGTTCTAATAAAAGGTTCTCGGAATGAGATAATGCAGCGTCCATTATGGCTAATTTACTTTCTAAAGAAGATATGGTTTTTTCATATTCTTCAGTTTGCCCATGATTATTTGTCTCATCATCGTAATTATTTTGATGCATTGCCAATTCCGCAGAAGTTTTAGCATATTTTTGTGTGAGTTCAGCATAAGAACGTTGTAATTGTGAAAGTTGGTCTTCTAACATTTCAATTTCTTTAGCAAAGTGAACATTTCCATGAGCAAAGGTTGTAAGAGGTGAAGAAGTTCGTCTCATCGAACTTGGAGTATCCCTCCCGTTCGTTGGTGTATTTCGTCCAGGTATTCCGGAAGAAGGTGTGTTTCGTCCTGGTATAGAAGGTGGGGTATTGCGACCAGGTATACCAGAGGTTGGAGTACTACGTCCTGGTAAACCTGACGTTGGAGTATTTCTTCCTTGTATAGTAGCCACGTTAACGGAGTTCTTCCGACTTGGAATATTTCCGGCAGTAGGAGTAACCCTACCGGGAGTAATAGTTCCACTAGAACTATGTTGCTGTTGTTGTAATCCCAAAGTTGCATTGGTAATTTTCAAGGCATTATTCTCTTGTCTTAACTTAAGAACCAAGGATTGTAAATGTGAAACATCACTCCAACCCATTTCTTCTTGATTAACCACGGCATTATTTTTAATGTTTCTTGCTCGATTTGCATATTTTAAAGTACTTAAAGTTTCATTAAGATTATATTCTGCTGGTGAAATGCACGCTATTAATAATGTTTTTGCATTTCCACCTAAAGAGTCTTGTAATAATCTTGTAAGCTTTGAGTCTCGATATGGAATGTGAGTTGTATGTTTTGCTTTGCTGGGATCTCCTAATGCCGAGATTACATTGCCCAATGCTAATAATCCCGAATTTATGGAAATTCCTTCTTTCGCCCTGTCCCCACTAGCGGCCGTTCGTTTTAGCTATATAAATAGGAAAAGAGGGTGAGTGTAAGCGACGCGACAATTTTTTTGAATCGAATTTTGAACTTATATGCTTACTCTTTCACTACCAGCTAAATCCACAAAGTGAAATTTACTTGTTATATTAACCCATTCCCCGTCATTACTACTCATAACAGAATTTGCTCTTGAAGGAGCTCTTGAACCAATAGATCTTGAAGATGGTGTTCCGGGTCTTGAATAAGTAGGTGTCATAGGTGACATCGGAGGGGCATTTTGACCATTATTCGATACAAACTTTTGTTGAAACATTGTTACGGAAAATATTGCATGAGATCTAGAGGATTTTGCGTTCATATCAGTTGCTCCAACTTGTCGATGTTGTGAACCTCGAGCCAAATAACTAATTAGTAGGAAAAGAAAAAAAAAAAAATAAGAAAACAAAATGATATTAGTAACTTCACGTATTTTTTTTTTATTTATTTTTACTTCATACTTACTTTATTACTTCTTCAACGCACGTAACTTTAACTTCTTGTAATCCGCTCCAATAAATGTTTCCTTTAGAATCTTCTCTGATTAATACAGGAGGTCTCTCCTCTTCTTCACCTTCACCAAGTAAATCAATTAAATCTTCATTATGAATCTCAATAAATGATACAAACAGTGTAATTTTTCTATGATCCGTTTTCGATTGATGTATGGAATTAATGTTGGAAAATAATGTAGACATCGCTCTTGGTATTATTCCTTTTGATATTGAAGGTACTGAAGGATTATCAGCTGTACCCATTGTATGTGTTTTTCCTGAAGATGTTTGCCCATATGCTAATATTGTTACATTGAATCCTAAAGAAAATATTTATGTATGTATGTATATATGTCATTATTTGATTAAAAGGTTTAATCATTATGTTATCGGATAAATTACCGGAAAATTCATTCGGACATCCAAAAAAATATTTTACCTTCCAAAAATTTAGAAATTAAATGTTCAACAGATTTTTCATAAATTTCTTCTTGAGTGGTCTCGGGTGGATATACATGATCAAAATGAAATGTTTGTCTTTTATCACCTTCAACAACGATTTGATTCGTTGCGTAAGGTGACGTAGTAATAATTTGTCTTTGAAATCGTGTAGGTAAATTTTCTAAATCATGTTCCGTTAATGGTTTTACACGTATTGCTTGAATATTTCGAATGTGCAAAATAATAAAACATTGATGATGACGTTACATTTTAATTTAAATCATTCATTTTTTTAAGCAAAATTTTTTTTTTTTTAGAATTCGAAGTTCTTACCAACTTGTACCGAGACCTTTTCAGATCCCCCACCGGTGGAGTTCATTTTTTAAAGTATTTTATTTTTGAAATTGTTCTTATTAAATTAATTTTTTTTTTGTAAATTAATTTTATTTAAAATGTCATTTGCTTTAAAGTGATATTAAAGAAGGATCCGGTCCTCTGGATATAAAAATAAATAAATGATTCTTTTTAATAACCTATAAATATTTTAAGGTTATCCGCAATACTAAAAGTAGTTGAAGTAGTCGGCGTGTTTTTTAGAGGTTTTTTTTTTTTTTTAAAAAAAAAAAAAAGAAATAAAACGAGAGTATTTTGAATTTAATGTAAAAAAACTTTTAGAATCTATTAATCGAAAATGGTTAAAGTTGTACCAAAAAAATAAATAGGTAAATTTCTTTGTTAAAAAGATTCTTTTTAAAGTTTGATTATTTTTTTTTTCCAAACAAAAGGTTCCAGGATGGGATTAGTTGTGAAACTATATAATTTTATAATAGGAAAAATGGAATAATATGAAAATTTAATTTGTAAAGAAGAAACATTTGATTATTCCGAAGATAACAAATATAGAAATATATGAATCAAGACCATCGAGTCGTTTGACGTGACAATTATAAGATAGTTTGTGCATCTAACTGCATTGTCATTGTATCGAATTCCATTGTTTTTTATCTTCTTAAACAAGTCGTAACTTTTAAGATGTTACGTAACGAGAATCCTTGAAAAGGTCTCAACTTTACATGGTGAATCTCGATAAAATGGTGAAAAAAAAAAAAAGATTTCAAATAAATCTGTTATATCGAAGTTTTATTAGGATCGATCCCGGTATATTTTACTATGTTAAACAAACATATGATTTGATTTCTTAAACCCCAAACAGTTCTTATTGCATGCATTTTTGATTTTTTTTTTTTTTTTTTTAATTTAAAACGTTATTGGATTGGAAGTTGCATTCACCTACTAATCAAAGTTTAAAGTGAGGCGTTTAGGTGTTTCCCTAAGTTCTAAAAATATATTTTTCATTTGATAATGTTGGTGTCAGCTAAGGGGTATTTTGAAGGATTACCATGGAACATATTTTTAAACGATCACTTTCCACAAATAAACGCCTAATTTATCCATATCATTACATTTATTTAGAGCGTTTAAAAAGAGTTTCACTTTTATCTTGGCAATAAATCTTCAGCAACCTCATAAAATCTTTAACGTTTAAACGTTTGGTTTTTGAAAACGATGACATTTATTAAAAGAAACTAGCAAAAAAAAATTAATTAATTTTCTCCATCTTGGAACGTATGACCAAAACATCACTAACCAAAAAAAGAACATTTTGATAATCTTATCCGAATAATCTCATCTGATAAATAAATTTTGTCATAATATTTCAAAGGCCCCGTTTTTTTCAACTTTTTTTACTTATTCTGAAAAGTATTTTTATCAAAAAAGTTAGGAAAATTACAAAAATGACCAATTTGTAGTTTACAATTCTTTTTTAAAAAAAAAAATTTTTTTCTTTTTGGAATAAATCATTAAAATTTTTTTTTTATTATTATTAATCTATTAAATCACTTATTTAAAAAATGTCAAATCAAGTAATCAAAACATTTAGCAATCAATACAAATTACCAAGATTACCTATTCCTTCATTAGAAGAGAGTACAACAAAATATTTAAATTCACTTAAACCTCTTCTTTCTTCTGAAGAATTTGAGTATACTAAACAACATGTAAAGGATTTTATTAAACCTGGTGGACTTGGACAAAAATTACATCAGCGATTAATTGATATTGATCGAATTTCTCCATATAATTGGCTTGATGATACCTGGTGGATAAAAAAAGCTTATCTTGAATGGAGAGCTCCAGTAATAATTAATTCAAACTGGTATCTTTTATTGATTGATGATCCAAATACTCCAGAAGAATACTTTACAAATAATAATGAAATTTGTCTAAAAGGACAATTTTCTAAATGGCAAATCAAAAGAGCTGCTCATTTAATTGAAAAAATGTTAGAATATAAAAATTTAATTGATACAGAAAGTATTCCTCCAGATATTACACGTACATATCCTTTATGTATGCATCAATATACACGTTGTTATGGTATTACTCGTATACCAAAACTTAATTGTGATGAATTAATATATACTCCACATCCTGCTCCTGCTAAACATATTCTTGTTATTATAAAAGATCAGTTTTATATTTTGAATGGTTATGATAAAGATGGACAAAGGTATACTGATGGAGATATTGAAATGTAAGTAATAAAATTTTAAATAATATAATTATTTTTTTACTTATTATAATTTTTTATATTATAGTCAACTTTATCAAATAGTTGATGATGTTTTAAAAGCACAACTTGATCCTCCAATTGGAGTGCTTACAGCTGATGATCGTGACTCTTGGGCTATGGTAATTTTTTTTATTAAATAATATATTTATATATATATAAATAATTATTTTACTTTCTATATTAATTTTATTAATTTTATTTAGGCACGTGAAAATTTACTTACAAATTCTTCACA